CCAACCTTCCGCTTGCCGAGACTCGCTTTTGCAGTCGTGCGTCCCGTTCACGCGCCCGTTCTGATGGAGAGCTGCCGTTGCCTGCCATGATAGGCGGCAAGGACGGCAGTTTTTCTACGTTGGGTGGGGGCTGACTTCCCACCATAGGTGCTGGACGTTTGCCCGCACGTTGCTCTGTCTTGAAGTCAAGATAGCTTCGTGCCGAGTGCCCAAGCGGGATGGGTGCAGGCAGCATCGGTAATTCTGCGCCGTTTTGCAACAGTAGCTCAGCGACGGGGAAGGCTTTGCGGGTAGGCTGTGCTGTGCCTGGGCGAGTGGCTGAGCCTGGAGAGCTTGCAGGTGATGCTGTCGCTGAAGGCGATGCTGGGTCGGCGGCTGCAAGCGCGAGAAATACTGCGTGTGTGCCTCGTGACCGATCGCGCGCATTGGCATTCGCTCGGAGTGCCAGCGCGTAGAGTACGTTCTGGATGTCGTTTTTCTTAACCGACGCTAACAGCGTCTCCTCTGGATTTGCATAGTGTGACATGTTTGGTGTTATGGGTGCCACGAATGCCCGATCAGCATACTTTGACGTGATGAAGTGCAGCCTTTGCTCTCTTGTCGACATTGGCCCTGGCTTCAGCCCTGGGTCTAGCCTTGCTTCCCAGATAGCATTGCTGATGCGGTTGCCGACCTTGAGCAGTATCTCGATGATATCGGGAGTAAAGGACGTAACGTCCAACGTTAAAGAGCGGACCTTTGTGATGTGCGTGCCTAGTGACCGATGGATACCACTGCACTCAATACAGATGATGATGCCGAGATTGATGGAAACCCAATCAACTTTGATCTCAGTACCGCAATCCGCGCACATCTTGTTGCCAGCATCCGCATCTCGTACTTGCTTGAGCAGCTTGCCTTCGTCGCCAAACGTCTCTTCTCGTCGGTAACCGCCAGGCCGATCGCCCACTGTAGCATGTCGCGCGGGTGCCTTGGAGCCGTATGTGTTGCGATGGCTTGACATTGATGGACTCTTGCCGGTAAGCACTGACGCGATGTCGCGATGTGTTTGTCCAGGCAGCGAGTCGGTTGATGGCCGGTCGGGCTTTCCTGCTGCCTCAACGGCTGTCTGCAAAGCATTGTTGACTGCACTGATCCATGACTTCATGTCTTCTTCGTTGGTTGCCTGATACACTCGAGTGTATTGTGGGGTGATGACTTCGAAACAAAACCGACGGTCCGCGTTACGCGCTTCCCTTACCGAAGCCATGCGAAGGTCGATTGGCTCCATATGGAGCTCCAGACTTTGCTTCCAGTTGGTATACTCTGAGAGTCTGCCCTGATCAAGCACGATCCAGAATCTGGACATTGTCAGCATCGTTCATTCAGTTTCGACAAAATGTACTCACTTGTGCCAGGCTTGCTTGTTCAAGCCCTTGGGATCCACATGGCTTCCAGGCCTGCTCAGTGCCCACAAAAGACCTTCTTTGCGATGTGCGCCTGAACCAGCTTCGGCCATTGCAGCAGGATCCTTTTCTTCAAGGTCTCTGATTCCTTTGAACTTGTCCGGCTGTGACGCCACCATGGCTAGAGTCGCTTTGGTAGCCTCAGGGCTTTGTGGTAATGCTATTGAGGAGGGAATGCTTGTAGATGAGATAGTCTGAGGAGGCATGACTGTACTCTGGAACATGGGCACAAGGCTACCCTTGCGGCCAGGAGGCGGCTCTGGGTCGGATCTTGACATTGTCCGGGGTACGCTACTCGATGATGCCGCGGGAGAAGTGAGCGAAGGCGCAGGCACATCGTCGAAAGTCTTCTTGATCGTCTCGAGTGCTCGCCTCTTCTCCTCTCTTTCGGTCCTCTGAATCTGAAACTCCTTGTCTGCTTCTTTCACCTCGCAACTCAGGGCCTCTAGATGTGGCAACATGGTCTCGATCTTCTTTGCAGTCTCTAGGTAGCGCTTGGCCTGGGCATCGGCATATCGCGTGAGATGGGAGAGGACTTCTTGATCTTTCCGGCCCCCGTGCAGATCCTGCATAAAGGACGAGTAGTCGAAGCGCTTCAGTTCGAAGTTCCGCCTCTTTGCTTGGTATTTGGAATCGGTCTCTGCGCGTTTCTTCTCTTTCAGTGAGTCCTGTCGTTGCCCAAGGTATCTTCCCAGATACTGGTAGTAGTCCTTGCTCTCCTCCTCAAAGTCTTTCCGCTTTGTCTCGGCCTGCTTGATGTCGATGTTGTAAAGCTTGTATATGGGATCAATAATGAGTTTTTGAATGTTGGTGGTGTTTGACTTTTCGTATCCCAGGATCTCCTTGGCAATCTTGTCGAAGTAGTGATCAATAGCCGGCTGCACTGCGTTTGCATTGGACGACGAGGCTTCTCTGAGTGCGTCCATGAGGTCGGCCATGGCATTGTTGCATGCCACTTGAGCTTCCATGGCTGACTCGGCGCGTTTGAGAACCTTCTTCCATCTTGTGCGCATGTTGCCCGTCTTCTGTTCGAGCGACTTCATCGTGGCGCGGAATAGCGGCCCATCGTCGGTCTGACTGAGATCCTCGCCCGGACGCGACACGTCGAGCTTCACCGGCGCACTCCCGCTTGACAGAGTGGTCGTCTGGCTTGGTATGAGGCCCAGGCTATGCTCGGGAATGGGCTCACAGATTGGCGATCTCGGGGGTATGTTGTCCCACTCGCGGTCTTCGCCCGCGGAGTCGCTCACTCGTGACTCTATCGATTGTGCCGAGGGCACGCGCAGTCGGGGAGGGACGCCAATTTCAAGGCGCGGTGAAGGCGACTTTGGGCTCTGCAGCTGGCGCGCCGTGTCTGGAGTGGTCAGCGGGCATGTTGGGGATGGAACGGGGGTGAGGATACGGACTCTGGACCCAGAATGTAAAGCTCGCCAGCGTCTCGAGCCGGTGTGCGCGCTGGTCATACTCGACAAACTAGAGGATATCAGCAGGCGCGGCTACAGAGAGGGGATGGTATACACACACTGCAGCTTGTGCGCCAGCCCCCACCACGCGACTCTGGGGTGCGGGGCGGCGTCCATTTCCACGACCACTGGAACTGAACCGACGAATGGCCGCCGGTGGAGTAGTCGCCGACCAGCTCGACCTGAGGGTTCTTGTGGAGGTTGGGGTTGGCGTGGAACTCGCGCGTGACGAGGTTGTCCAGGTCCTTTGAGCTCGGGGCGAAGATAAAGGTCAAGCCATTGATGTTGGTGTCGACCAGGCCGGTGGGGGCGACGTGGGAGGCGGTGCTGGCGCTGTAGCTGGTGGGAACTGCGAGGTGCTGGCGCAGGATGAAGGTGAAGTTGAAGGTCAGTTCCTCGTCGTTGGGCAGGCGCAGGAGGAAGGCTGGGGGGCCGTCCTGGTGGTGGGCTGGCTCGGGGTCCTGGATGTACTCGACGACGCTGTCGTCGCCAAAGTCGCGCCTGGCAGCATAGCGGGTGGCGGGGAAGGCATTGGGCGAGATGTTGAGAAGCGTGCGGTTGCGGGCATTGGTGATGTTGAGCGAGGCCACCGAGACTGGGGGGTCGTGTTAGCAGAGCGCGGCCGAGGCAATGGTCGAGGGGGACAAGGGACAGGCGCAAGTCGAAGCTTACATCGAGTCTGGTCGCGCAGATAGAGGTCGCCTGCATCGCTGGACTTGCTGTGAACTGCACCCATGCCCGCTAGCAGCAGCCCGTCGAGGACGAGGTCTCGGGCGACGACGAGGAGAGGGGCCGACGGGTCGTGTGCAGCGAGGGCGGGTTCTGCATGGATGACGGGCGCGGGCAGACGAGACTACGGGTATACGATATGGGGTGGATATGGGGTAGATATGTCGGGTAGGATACAACGTTACAGAAGCGTAGTGCAGTAGACAAAGCAGCCCATGCCGCCTAGGTAAACGTTCCCGTCCCTGCATTTGGGCCCCGCTTCTTTAGTGCATTCCGTCCCCATTGCAAAAGCCGCATGTACCACCGCCGCCTCAAAACTTGTCCACAGTACATCCAACATGCCGTTGCGCATCCCCACGCTGCGCCATGCTCTGCGCCAGCCCCTCGTCAACCCCCGCGCTACCCAACGCCGCTTTGCCCGCGTCCAGGATGTGCGCTTTCTCGTCACACACGACTCCCAGGAGCGCATCCTCGCCAAGTACAAGGAGAAGCTCGAGCACAAGGCGCGCGAAAAGGGCCTCAAGGACCTCGACGAGCTCAAGGAGCAGTACAAGGACAAGATCGAGGAGCTGAGGAAGCAGGCCATTGTGCCCGGCGCAACCGGTCCATTGACGCCGCCACCAGAAACAACCACAACCACAGCTACAACCCCACAATCCCAACACCAACAGCAACCAAAGAGCCCTTGGCCGTCGCCTCCTCCGCCGCCCTCTGCTTCAGGCTCTCCCTCCGCGCCCCCGCCAGGCGTCAAGACGCTCAATTCCTTCCTCGACCTCGACAAAGTCAAGACTCTCCCCGAGAAAGAAGTCCAGGCCCTGTGGCGCCTACGGCACGCTGCCAATCCACAGAGCGTCCATTTCGCTGTTCCGGCCACGACCTTTGCCCAACTCCTCCGCAGCGCAAAGCAACACCCCTCCTTCGTGCTCCCCGTCCCCCGCGAGATACCCGCCGATGCCTCGTCCGCGTCACCGGAACAGCCCCAGACGCAGCAGGCTGCCGAGCTACACTATCTACAGTTCTCCCACCCGCACCTTGACACCACCACGCTGATGTTCACAACGCTGGCAGAATTCAAGCTGAGAGGCGAGTTCGCGAGTCCGCACACCACCATCACATTCCACCAGGAGCTCGCCGAGAGCCACAACCTGGTTCTGGGCCAGGGCCTGGTCATCGAGAACAGAGGCGTGAGCGTTGACGAGGCCAGATGGCTCGTCATGTGCATGCAGAAGTTCTACGTGCAGACGGAAGAGGGCAAGGGACGCAGCGAACTGCTCAACATGTTCACTCGTGGAGACAGCGCATTTCAGGTAGAGCGACTGATTGATGAGGCCGGGAAGATATTGTAATTCTACATGCCGCCCATCTACCCTCGGAGCGGGAGCACATGCTGCACTAGACACGTCTGCCTGCAGAGTGGACATTCGGGCTTTTCCCGCGCCCAGTCCCCTATACACGTCCAACAGAAGACATGCCCACACGTCGTCACACTCGGATCCTTCATCTCTTCCAGGCAAAGCGTGCATTTCCGATTGCCACCACCAATCCATTCCATTGTCTCCTCGTTCTCCAGCTCATATCTTGCTTTTTCCAACGCAGGTGTGTGTGTCCACTTTTGTACGTCCGATGGCGCCGCTGTAGGGAGGGCAGATGCCGCGTCGAACAGCAACGCGTTGTTGGCGCTGTAGGCATTGGGGTCCAGGGAGACTTCCGCACCGCCACCTACAATGGCTGACGTGCCTTGCGGATGGCCACCACCCACCGCCGCCGTCGACGATGTGACAGTATTGTGTAAATGTAGATATGCCTGTACCGCCATTTGTAACACTAGTAGCACACCCAGGACTTCGTAGCCAGCGCGGTTATCGCCCTCGGGCACCTGTCGCGTGAAGATGTATCTTAGGCCCCATATGCGCTTCGAGAGGTGGTAGTAACTCCCGGAAAAGTAGAATGTCGCCAGAGAGAGGGCGTAGACGGGCGACGGCGACGTGATGGTATCTAGGTTTTCGAGTATGTAGTTCTGCAGGCGCATACCAAGAGGCCGTCCTATCCGTGCTTTGCTCCCATTCTCCTGTGCCTCTTGCTGTGCTCGTGCTTGCTGTCGCGCGTACCATCGCAGATTCGCCTCGAGTTTTGCGCGCACTCTTCGTCTAAAGGCTGGCAATGCTCTTCCAAGCAGATATGGCCCCAATATGCAGCTTAGTATGTATCCCGCTCTCCGTCCCAGAGCCGGCAGTCGTCCGCTTTCGCTCTCCACCTGAACAATATCTGTGTATTCTTCGCCTAGTGTCCGGTTTCCTATCAGTGTGGTGAGACCGAGATAGAGTAGCTCTCCGAGGACTCGCGTCTCGGATGCGTACGTGTGCGCGATGCGCGCGCCATAGAGCTTGCGCAAGAGTGTCGATAGCTGGTCCAGCAGCACACCAGAGAAGTAGGCGTCTTTCTGGTGTGACCGGATGATGTCAGGGGAAGCGGCGAAGGGGTAGGCGTAGCGTGTTGGAGAGGCCATGTTCATGTCTATGTTGTTGCAGCGTGCTGAAGAGGCCGTGTTCATGTGTCACTTCACTACCGGTAGTTCAGAATGCCTCGGTTCCGCGCAAAGCGATGCGCGCCCCCTTGCTCGTCCCGCAAAAGCATCTACACCCTGACGACACGAAACCGCATCTGACTCGAACTGTGCCAACGTGTCATTTCTGCCTTCTCATAACTTCTATCCATATATACTCTTGACGCCTTGCGACGCGTTTGCAGCGCGATATCGCATCCTTCATACATACTCTCCATCCCAATATAGCAATGACGCTTATTCCTGCCTGTCATCATGGTTAAAAAGTACCACGCTGTGACTCGAGGCAAAAGGCCTGGCTTGTACAACTCCTTTGAAGAGGCACAGCAGCAAGTCATCGGCTTTCCAGGCTCCAAGGTCAAGACGTTCCCTAACCTGAAGTTCGCCGTAGAGCATATGCTCGACGTCGGCCGTGTACCAGATGACGACATACGAGTATTCAATCGCGCCTTTATAAAGCAGGGCAGCTTCATACCGCAGCCGTCTAATTCGTTTAAGCAATAATTTGGCCTATTTGCAAGCTCCCAAGGGCTCAACCGGAAAAGAAAGAATGAAGCCTGTGTCGATGCGATTCGCGACGAGATTATATATCATTACCTTCCCGAAGGCCTCCATTATCGGCAAGTGAACCATCCCAGGGGCCAAATTCGCCTGGATGATGGCCAAAAGTTACTCATATACCAAAGAGTGTGTGAACAGACAGGGAAGAGGGCACACAGCCTCATCCAAGAGTGTATAGACGAACTAAAAGATCCACCGTACGTCAACATTCTAGATTTCGTTGATGTGTTCCGTACGGGAGAAACAATCAGAACCTTCTCGGATCCACTCATCTTCCGCGACTACACAAGGGAAAACCCAATTTATCTAAAATACGCAAAGAAGAGCGAATTCTTATGCCCTTTTCTGCAGGATTTGCAGGAATTGCGACGACTACCGTCTAAACCACGCCGAGACCGTCAGGTCAATGGTTCGCGGCAAGAATCTAGGGCGCGGAAAGATTCAGCTTTGCTTCTATCACCTCGTCCTGGGAACAAGTTCGTCAAACCAGAAATGTCCAACGACTCACACATGGTTCCTCCCGTCGGCAATTACCAATCCAGTCTTGATCACCCTCCATTGAGCCCACCACTATCGGAGTCTGGCTCAGAAAAACCCTCTACCAACGTCAAAATTGAGCCTACTTCTTCTGTAATGCCGGCTCAAGTGCTAGACGATATTGGTGCATCTCTCGAAGACGACAAAGAGATAGCCACTCAACTCTTACAGCAGCCTTCAAAAGCGGAAGTCGGACAGGATATACCAGAGGATATGTTCCAAGACGATGAGGAAATTTCCACTCAACTCTCACAACAGCCCTCAAAAGCGGAAGTCGGAGAGGATATATCGGAGGATATGTTGGAGTATATGATCCAAGACGATAAGGAAATTTCCACTCAGTTGACGCAGGAATGGCACATTACAGGCCCGGAAGAAAGTTCACGCACTAAGACAACTGGCAAAAGAAAGCAGAGCCTGGCTTCTGATTTGACCCACACAGTCAAGCGTGCAGGCAAGATGCTTAAGACACACAGGTGAAGCTCTGTTCCAGCCATGTCATCGTGTCGATCGCAACCAAACGACCTTGCAACGAACATAACAGACGCAGGCGTCGTCCGCGAATATTACTTTCTCGAGAACTTTCACCTGTATTATTAATCTTGTCATCAATTTTATTTCTGTATACAACATGTACACTGAGACCCAGTGAAGATATGATGATCACGCATGTAGAATAAATCATTCGGAGATTCTTCTGTACACATGTTCCACGGGTATGTCTGCTAGGATGTGATTACAATGGCATGGATCATCGACGCACGACTGGGTCACCATGACGTTCACTTTCAAAAGCTAAAAAACAAATAAGAAGAGAAGACGGGTGATTGTAAGAGACAATATGAAAAGTGATTTGAAGATCAATTCTGTCAACGATAGCATATGTCCGCGAAGAGCATTGATACATCTGCATTGAACACAGACATAGAGCATTTGCGACGATAGGGGTTTACAGCGGAGTGAACTGTGAGTCCTTCATGCTTGCCATGAAAACTGAAAAGATCGATGTTCTCGTCGCCGCACTAAGACGTCGCGGTGGAGATGGAAGTGGAGTTTCAATCGCAGCTCACACTATCTCAACTTTACTTTTTTGTTTTTGCCTCCAAGTCGCTCGTTGTATTCAGCGACCAAATCCGCCGCACCCTCAAGATCTTCTTCGGGAAGCCAATCGTGACTATCTTCATATCCATCCCATTTGAAGAGGTAGTACTTCTTCCTATCCTCCTGAAAGTGATTAACGATGGCTTCAACCACGTACTCTTCTGCGCCCTCTGCATCTTCCTCGTCTTTCGTGCTATACTCAAGTGAATGGCTGTCTGACGACACTGTGTGCATGTGTATAGTATCGTTGTCCACGTCGTCATTGGATTCGTGATGCGGCGGCGGATGTGCAGGTATAGTGTCATCTGAGTTAGACACTGTAGTCGACGACTGATCAAAGAGAAGCGGTGTGTGTAGAAGCATGTCGTCTGAGGTGTTGGACAGAGGCTTTGCATCGCGGCTAGCCCGGGCTAGGCCCACGTCCTTATTCGGATCCGAAAGCCCTGTATGTCCCTGCTGAGGAAGAGAAGTAGAAAGTCTCGTTGGTATTGATGATACAGGCAGGGCGCTGTTGGCAACAAAGGCTGAACGGGCCACACCGGAAGATGTCTGAATTGGCTGTCTAGTGTAGTCGGTTAGGCAATGAGTCTCGCTGTCCACCAACTCTTCATGTGTCTCATCCTCAAGCTGCCGAGAATCGAATACCAGATCTCTCGTTCTTCTCCTACCTCTTCCGCGACTTCTTCTGAGCCTACCTCTAGCTCTTGTGGGCAAAATGACGGGAAGTTCCAGCCCACTGAGCATACGACTTCCTCTGTTGTTGCTTGGTAGCTTTGTATTCTTATGCAGTTGTCGACGTGCTAGATCCTCAGCTTCTGTGCGTATCGCGACTGCCTCGGCCTCTGCCTCGAGTCTGAACTGCTCTGTTTCATAGCGCTCCAGTTCGGCCGGAGACACGTACTGCATGATACGTGTAAAGTCCACATCCTCAACCTCCGTGCGATCAATGCTATCATGTCTGTTTTCAGGTTGGCTGATGTGTGTTATCTCTACAGCGTATCGCTCTCGCTTTATAGCATCCTCGGTCTGCCGACGGTAGAGTATTCGTGTTCGCGCATTCGGTATGGGGCAGTCGTCAGGAAGCCGTGCGGTAACGATTGCAGGCTCCTTGCGAACGCGCCATAGCTGTTCGTAGACTTCAGCGCCAGGTGTGTATGATTCCCACTCCCACTGCGATACAACTTAGCGATGTTTCCCGCGACTTGGCTGTATCGTACTATCTGTGTCTTGCCTCTACCCAGTCCTTTGCCGCGTCGGAAGCCGCGACCACCCCTGGGTTCTCTATCCAACATGCCCCCTTTTTTGTAAATGCGTAGAGCAGTAAGTACCGACGGTTAGGTACTGTGCAAATGCGAAGGTTGCCACATGTATAGGTGTCCGTCATAACGAGCGTTGCGCAGTGGGCATGGGGCGCGTATTGCGTCGCGAAACCGCGGCCAGTTGTTTCCCTCCGTTCAACGGGGCTTATGTCAGCCAAACTTGGAGTGCAACCCGTATAACCCGCCACTCGAGCAATACTTCCATCTCTACTACACGCTCAATGTAATGAATTGAAAGGCAATTGAGCAGGGACGGAACATCGTTGGATGGTAACCTTAATGTAGTGTACGTCGCCTCACAAACGCTCTCGCATGAGTCTGCGTTACCTCGCGAATCTCTCTCATCCTTGAGCACTCCCACCTCGTACTTGAACCCAAAAGCAGACAACTTTGACTCTCTTACCTTCTACTCCACTTCAGTTTTATTTCTGCTCTACTCTCATTTGCTCTACGTCTATTGATCCTTTTACCTTTACATCCTAATGCTTCGTGAGGGACAACCTGAGCGACCATTGGGGGCTCAAGATGAGGAGCGACATTGCATTAGCAATTCGCCGTTCGTGTTAACAGCTTGGTAGAAGCTCAGGCAGCAGCAGATGCCTAGGCGAAGGCAGATGCTTGGGTGAAGGTAGGTGCTCATGCGACAGCTGAGGCGCCTCCCATGATTCCAGTCCCCCTTTCGTTTAGCAAGTCCTTTGGTAAGTCGTTTGTCATTCCAGCGTACCATCTGGCACAGATATCAGTGGCTAAGTCAGCCCTGGCGATGACCAAGCATTGTTCATGGGCAAAACTTAGACACTAGTGAGTTTAGAGTGATCAGTCAGCAACCCTCAGCAGCACTAACGGCCACGGCCTCAGGACATATTAAGAACAACTGAAGCGTCGTCTGTAAATCCTTACGGCGCTCAAAATGTCTAATCCCATGCTTGGTTGCCAGATTGCTCCGCAGTATCACCACGGATATGACTCCAGCTCGTCCAGCGAGTCAGACATTGGAGAGCATGTGCTCACAACAACCGACTCCGCTCGCGTACAGCAGCAGGCCGCCCCCTTCGAGCGCGAGACGAACCACGCCATCAACTCTGCTTTAGTAAGGCCGACGGTACTACAGCGTGACCGCACGAAGAGCAGCCGCCGAATCGAATTCGATCAGAAGCCTGTTGGATTCTTCCACTCGTCCATGGCTGGTGTCAGACTACACGTCATCAAACTCTGGCTCCGCACCAACCTGATCCTCGCCGTCGCCATCATGATTTTCTTGTGTCTCTTTTGGGGTGCTTTGTTCCGTCAGAAGGCGAATGTTACAAACCTGAGCGTCTGGGTTGTCGACTTCGACGGTCAACCGCCTTATACAGAAATCACACCTTTCGTCGGTCCATTCGTTACTCAGGCCATTCGCAACATCGTTGATGACGGTGGTGTGGTGCCGGGTTATACTTTTGCTCCACCCGGGGACTTTGACAACGATCCACTCAAAGTACGAGACAGTGTTTACGACTTCCACGCCTGGGCAGCCGTCGTGATCAACCCCAATGCAACAGCAATGCTCGAGGCTGCAGTGAGGCAGGGCAACACGAGTTACGATCCGTTGGGCGCTTGCCAGATCACTTATAACTCTGCGCGTGATCAGACTACGTTCTCGACTTATATCGTACCCAGTATGAACACGCTCCAAAAGCGTGTCGTGACTGATTTCGGTCGCGCGTGGATCGCACATCTCCTCGAGAACAACGTTTCAGTTATCGACATGCACGTCGACGTTTCGCCCCAAGCTCTTACCCCGGGCATCGAATTCACAGTCTATGATCTGCGTCCCTTTGGACCACCTATCGCGACACCCGCGGTCAGTATAGGCCTGATCTACTTAAGTTAGTGATTTCCTCGTAAAAACAACACTCGAAACATACGCTGACTCAATCGACGATATCTAGTCATCATCTCCTTTTTCAGCTTTACGTTCTTTCTACCCATTCATCTAAAGTACCTCACACCTAGAGGTCATCCACCGCTGCACTTCTACCAGCTCATCGTGTGGCGCTACGTTGCAACTGTCGCATCTTACTTTCTGCTTTCACTCGTCTATTCTTTCGTCAGCCTCGCCTTTCTCATGCCTATGGACCGGCCCAAAGCAGCCCACGATCAACCTGCCGATAATCCCAACGCATACGGCAGCGGCACCTTCTTGGTATATTGGATGGGCAACTGGATCGGTATGATCGCGTTTGGTTTGGCCAGCGAGAATATGGCTATGCTTCTGGGAACTCCTTGGACAGCCTTGTGGTTGATTTTCTGGGTTATCAGCAATGTAGCAACTGGCTTCTACGCCCTTGAGCTAGCTCCAGGCTTTTATCGCTGGGGTTATGGATGGCCTATGCACAACGTCGTAGAGCTCACACGATCCATCTTGTTCGATCTACATCCGCGCGTCGGCTTAAATTTTGGCATTCTATTCGCTTGGGTTATGGCAGATACTGTCCTTTTCCCACTCTGCTGCTATTATATGAGATGGAATACAGCGCGAGTCAAGAAGAATTCAGCCAAGGTTGAGGCGGACTGGCATGCAAAAATGACCAAGGAGAGAGAACAGCCTGGTTTGCTAGCAAGGGTCACTACTTTAGGTGACAAGAAGGGCTGATAGTTCAAGCACGGTTTCCAGAGCAATAAGTAAGCAAGGCATAACTTTCTCGAACGTGGCACACAAGTCTTTCCACGATGACAAAGGTTGAGAATCTCACTGATCTGTAGATCGTATGAAGCACATGTGTTAGTTTCGGCAGGAAGGGGCGTTTCTGTGAATAACATCACCTTGTAGAAATAGGAAGAAGAAAGACAGCAGCAGATTCAGAGCCTAGGTGGAAAGGAACAGAAGAAAAGAGTAAAGAGCGGAAAGTCTAAAAAGAACTTAACTAGATCTACCATCACTATACTTTTGCCTTCCAGTCCCAGCCCACCAGAGATACCCTGGTAGCCAGTAGTAGACAGCCTCCAACGATGAACGACATACCCGCCCAGACATTTGCGTACGTATAACTACCGTTGTGACTTTGGATGAGGGCGCCAGCTAGCGGTGGCCCTGTGAAACTTGACACGCTCACGACGGTAAAAGCCATTCCCATCCTCACACCTGACTTTTTCAGGTCCTTCTCACGGCTCATACTGCCGATCACGGCCGGCCAAAGTGCCTGTATAACGGCGCTTCCACTTCCGTATATGACAGCAAATACGTACAAGGTAGCTATGGACTTGATCCCAATCCATGCGAACATCATGACACCACAGATGAAAGCGAAAGGTATAAGAACGTTGAGGCCCCCAATCTTATCAGCATAATACGTAGGTAATAGGCGAAAGACAAACCCCATGCAAACCTGCACGAGAAGCAGGTTGATACTCTGCTGGTAACTGGCGCCAAGGACATTCCGCGCGTAACTCCCAATGTAGAAGAAAGCGAAATATAAGCCCCAGAAACTGAAAAAGGCGCCAGCGCAGTACAGTGCATAGGGTAATTCCTTGAAGCTTGCCCAATCCACTAGCGGGCCAGTCTTCCTAGGTGGGAGCCGTGTACGATACAAGGCAATGGTAATGGCGTTCATGAGCAGCATAATGAAGCCAATGATACGTATAGTCCACGGGAAGCCTAAGCTAGGCAAGCATTGTTGCACAATAACTGGGAAGATGACACCGCCAGTGCAGGATCCGAGCGCTGTGAAGCCGAGCGCAAAGGCACGACGCTTGACAAAGTAGGTAGATACCAGGGCCATCGAAGGGCAAAACTGCAGCCCGTTTGCAATGCCTAGACACACGCCCTGGGAGAGAAAGACGTGCCACACGCTTTTGCTCTCGGCCAACGTGAAGATGCCAAGTATCTGGAAGCATGCGCCAGCGATATAAACTGGGCGGAAGAGACCAGCATCCGTAGCACGGCCTGTAAAAGTACCAAGGAAGAAAAGCAGGAAGACCTGGAGGGAACCAATCCATGATATCGTCGAAGGCGAGATTCCGAGTGTGTTTTCGTAGTACGTTTGGTATACGCCGAATGATGTAAAGAAACCAAAGGTGGTTAAAATTGTCAGGTGGGTGCAGAGGACCTGGATCCAAGCTGTGAGGCCACCGTCAGGAGCTGGACCGGGATCAAGCGATGCTGCCGAGCGGCGCGAGAGCATGCGTGTAAGAGCAGGTTGATGTGACTTAACCTGCGGATTTTGCGCTGCTTGATTTTCGGCTCCGACGTCCAATGTGGCTTCTTGTATCTCGACGTCGTGCGCGCTCGGCCATGTCTGTAGGTTGCGCTGCACATCATCTACAGTCTTTGTGGTGGGATGGTCTTCCCGGTCTGCATGCTTTTCTGCGTCGACACTTCGGTCCGTCATTGTAACTTGCTATTCGTGATTACAAGCAAGCATAAAGAACGAGACAGGTTCGAAGCGGCATTGCACGTCGCGATGGGCAGAGATTGCAAAGGGTGACGGTTGATTTTGTTGAGCACGTCACGGAAATAAGGAAACAGCACATCATTGCCCCATGCAGCGAATTGCGAGACTACCGCTAAACTACCTAGGTACAAAGACGAAGTGGCTGACTTGATTTTCCAACAATGGGAAGCCGTAGCGACCACGCCACAACAGTCCTTCGCCTATGATATCTCGTACAGCCTTATGGGCCCTTGATGAGAAGTACATTGTTCGAGGTGCAGCGAAACATAAATGGGAATCGGAATTTAGGTTTCGACACGGGACAGGATTTGAGAACGACAAGATCAACACCGACAGACCAGTTTCCATACGACGTCTTGAAAACCTATTCCTGGCTTTCGAGAGCTATTCCATCTACTTCGGTTTGCTTGAATTATCCTCTCAGGGTTTGCTGACGCGCAAGTTGATGTCTGGTGTCACAACAACTTGCGTTTGTCCGATTATGCTTGTGTGTACTTTAATGAAGGACCTTTGTATGTTCATCTATGACGGACTTGCCACTACCGCTATTTCAAGTGACCAACCAGGCTATACGACACAGCTCACGGTATGGCTGAGCAAAACTGTATGTGTGTATCGTTTATCTCAATTCACGGCCATTGTAGCAACTAAGACGCATGACTGATATATCACACAGCCCGGAAGCGCGCTCGCGTCGATGGCACACCACCTCCTGCTGGGCTTTATCCTGATCATCAAGGTCGTCCTGGCATTCCAAACGACGCCTCGTCAGAATTGCTTGGACCTCCTCCAGCATACAGCCCTGCGCCTGATTATCGGTCTACGGCACCTTCGACTCCTCTTGTCCGGCCTTTCCATCGAACTGAACCTTCACAAGCATCTGCTGCTGGCTCACCTACAGGTCTCCAAGATCATGGATACCAGAATCCAATCGAAGCATATTCACGGAGACCGCCAGAAAATTCTCCTCCTGATCATCATCGGCCGCGATCATCCCATCAGGATGCACAAATACCTCGTAGGCTTCGACCTCACCAAAGTCCTGTAATACCACCTCAGCAACAGTCTGCCCCTCCATCTGGGCCTCAGGAAAGACCAGCTCCAAGCTTGGACGATAATAATGTTGGGTGCAGTCGAATGGAAAGGTCAACAGGTTGCATCAACTCAAGCAGACTCACCAACTGCACAGGCTGCGTCAACTCCAGTCGGCTCGATGACTGTACTGATTGCGTCAATTCTAGTCGTTGTACTAACTCTACGGATTTGGTGGACTGCTCGAGATGCAATGATTGTCGGTCATGTGTTGGTTGCTCTAACTGTAGTGGTCTTGTCGACGAAATCGGAGTTCGTAACAAACACGCCTGATCCTGAGATACTCCGCATTCCCGCGATCTTTGTTCGAAGAATTCCAAAACGATAGACAGCGGGCCTAATGGCGTCATCTAGATGCGCCACCAAAGGAATATCTGTTATACCTTCGAGCCACAATGTGTAATTAGTTCAGGCGCTAGGGCCTAAACAATCTTAACAAGTTTCCAATCGGTAAATCATATATCAGGTTGATGTTGAAGGGCGCCTTATCGGTACCAATGGCCTTTCAAGCTTATCATACCTATGCATGTCAGAAATGACGTCGTGGCTGCATGCCCTTCCCGTCACGTCCCCTCACCTATAAACTGGGGAACAAGTTATGCATATCCATACGTCTTTTCCTCCTAAAGCTACTTCGTAGTCTTATTGAACTCTTATTCTCTCATTGTAAGCCCAGAAAGTACGTTCAACATGGGTTGTGGTGAATCGTCACTCCGCGCAGTACCTTCCTCGGGCTCTGGCGACGGTAATCATAATAACACCAACTGTACTGGCTGCAAGGACTGTAAGTTTGTAGCATGCTTCGAAAAACTTCAAGTCTAACTCCACATCAACGATTGTAGGCCGAAACTGTACAGATTGCAAAGGTACGCCCTCAGCAATGGCGTTTCCATAATTCCATGATCCCACGCCCCATACGCCGCACGTTATGGCGTGATCAACCTACTCTTGCCCTCATGATCAGTACATCTTGGGATTTGAGTGCGGCTTATCTACTCAGACTGCTCATATTGTAAGAACTGTATCGATTGTAGCAAGGACACGTCGTGCCACAATTGTATCGGTTGCAAAAGTATGGGCTTTTCCATGCCACCTTCTTGGAAATCATCTGTCTCTTCGGTCACCTTGACCAATTCCTGCTATCAAACACCTCCTACAACCGCGGACTAATTTGCGTACAGACTGTACTGGGTGTCGTAATTGTACGCGCTGTAAAGACTCTACATACTGTCAGAATTGCACGGATTGCGAAAGTAGCAGTTACTGCCAGAATTGCACCGGCTGCGATAATTGTGAGGGATGTCGCAATTGTACTGACTGTACCGACTGCATAAAGTACGTAGCATCATATGCGCCTGCTCAGTGAGACCAGGGATTGGAATGGCGCAGAGAAGGCTGACAGTTATAGTTGTACTAACTGTACTGATTGTACCGGACTGAAGAACGCACACAACCAAACAGGTGTGCATAAATGATTGGGATCGATGATAGAAGTTTGAAACAAATGGCTGTGATTTGTAGTGTGTTATGTGCGTGACAGATAGTTTTCATGTTTTCCAATCAGAAAATGCGATGCAATCGATACTTGGGTTCAAGCAGCTCACACGTTTAATTCTCATTCCCGTGTTGCCCTTGTCAGTATAGGGACTCATCGTATTCAGCAAAGATATACGAGGTATGGCTCTGACTAAGAATGGTTGTCTTCAAGGGACTACGGCCGACTAATTGTTCCATATTATACGTCCACATTGTGAAGTTGCCCGAACATACAACGTTGTGCCTCGCTCAGTGTATTACATTGTTCCCACATACTGCGACTCTGGTTGGAATTAAAATACTTCGTCTGGCGTCTTCCTCTCTGAGCCTGGAGATTCTGTTGTCACCGATCACGTTGGAACATGAAATTACTGAAGGGTTTGATAGGGAAGGATCATCGACAAAAAATGCCTGGAGCGTTAGACGACGACCTTGTGCCACGTCTGGTGCCAAAACCCGATCAGCGCAAGAAAAAGGATAGAGTGATTCCAAAGCCGCTGGCCTGGTATATACCTATCGAGATATTCCCTGAACCAGAACTTCCCAATATCATCCTTTGGCCACCGAAACCACCAGAAAGTGGACCCAAAGTAGAAGATATCTTGTTCGAACGTTCAGGGTCCGTTTTCATCTTGCGCAGGCCATGAGCCGATGTCCGCTTCAAAGTACATCGCGCCTAGGCGACGGGTAAGTTCATCTGCCCGAGCAACATGGAAAAAGCAAACAATTCGAGGATGTTGCAGAAGCTTTTGGAAAGAAAAAGGTCACAGCAAACCCTAAATGCCAGGACGTTGATCTGCAGCATGCGTCTCGATTATACCATAGCATCTACATAGTCGGAATGTATAACTGACTAGTGACTTAAATGAAAGCTTGAGGCTTTCTGGTTACCCTTTTCGAGAGGCGTCAGACTGAATTAAACTTCCACTAACTTCGATATCAATTCTAATCATCGGAAGCTCCGCTGTTATAGGACTCGTCTTACTCAGCTTTCCTATTTCACTAAAAGATCTCATCTGTTCCAGATAGCCTAGTGTAATGGAATACAAAATTTCCTCTTGACGCGTAGTGTCCCCATGTTGTTGCTGCTTGTTAGCTCTGCATGCTTTAGGTACTAGTTGCCTTGATGGACCTTCGTCGAAAAGCATATATTTCCTGCAACAATCCCGTCCAGTCAGCCATACGAGAGTGCTAAGAATCAAGGGAATCATACCGCATACGCAATCACGTCGTCAAGCCGCTCTGGCTCTGGCCAATTGCTAGTCATCCTTGAAAGTTGCTTCCATATCATCAGACTGTTCCCTTCTCGCTCGCATTATCAGGACTATACGTAATTGGGATTATGCGTGCATACATAGTCTCCGCTGTATAATCATGTTAGAAGTCACCACCGAGATCGAACGCCCAGAAGTCAGGGAATGACCAGCCACTCATATCGACCTGCATATCCTGCAGCACATCAAAGGTCCCGTTCATATCTTTAGCACCATCGGCAAGATTAAGGTTCATGTCAAGCCTGTCTAGCGAGGTGGGAGCCGCACTTTCGGCATTCCCAATCGTAGATCCCGTTTCTCTTGTGGTACTCATAGTAGAGCGAAGAGAAGAGGCTAAACTGTTAGTGGGGTCTTGCTGTAGAGCTAGCACCCTGAAAGCCAACGTTGTGAATAAATCCAGAGTTTTTCGGCATCTCGATAGTATGTCATCGCTTGCGTTGTTGATGTATGCTATGGAAGTGGCAGGCGAAGGAGGAGGGGGCAGCATGCCTACTGCAGCAGACATACTATACGGATAGAGCAAAAAAAGATTAGCAAATGTCTCATATGAATGCTCTGCGATGGTACGTACAGCCAGCACTCCATATATCCCGTACCAAGTCGAAAGACTTTGACTTCGAAGATCTGTCTCGTACGTTCCAGGATATCGATTGAAGATGTGCACAGTGTTCTTGCAAGAAAGGGATCTTGTGGCAATATCGCGAGGTCCAAATCCATTCGTGAGTCTGGGCCAACTGAACGATTTGGAAGAGTAAGATCCGCAAAATGTGTATGATGGTCTACATCCTGAGTCTCAGTCTCTGCTGTATAGGACGTGAACGATTTGATCTTTCGACGAGCACAATTGTGGTATACGATTTGAGAAAGTGCCAGACCGACCCTGATCACATCGTTCCGGAAGTTGTGAAGTGCCAGGATACCTCTCGATATCAGGCAATCGTGCATTGCCAATAACGAGCTGCAGGTATCCACGCACGTCGTGAAAGAATGCAGATAGCGATCGTTTGTGTGAGCCAGTTTTGCGTACGGCTTATGTAGCAACAAAAGATACTGACGCAGTTGCAAACGAAGAAGCGTAGAAGGCACAAGCGCGCTATCGTCATTCCAAACGGGGAGGATCGCCAATGCAGAACGGATCTGCGCATCGTAGTGCAGTACGTCGGTGTAACGGAGGACACTAGAAGGTGTATTCAGCAGCTGCGTGAGATGAATACGAAGTGGAAGTGATTTTAGAGTCATTGCAAGGTATGATGCTGACGTGAAGTATTCAGTGGGCTGACCTAACGGCACGTGTTGTGTGTCTGGTGAGAAAGCTTCATCGGCAAGATTCGCAGGCGCAGGAGTGTCGAAGTACAGTCCGGTAAGTCCAGATTGAAACCCGCTCTCGATGGAAGATTGGAGCTCCATTTCCATGACAGTGACCCACAGTCGCTTCTTCATTTGCTCATCGAAAGGTGAGATTTTCCCATGCCCGACCAGACACGGATCACGATGCATACCGGATGTAATGGAGAGTCGAAGTAAGTCTCCCGATGCTATCCAGTCTTGCTTCAGTCGGACACAATTGACACGCTTAGCAAGCAGCGACAAGCAATGTAATTGGAAGAAAGACAAAGTAACCCGCTTGCGGGGCTGCTCGCCGATCCAGGCATCACATATATCGATGAGTTCAAGGGCTGCTTGCCGGTCTGCAGTCGTGTCGCCAATGAAGACGTCATCTTTTGGGGCGAGACACTTTGAGATGGCAACAAGCAAGAGAAGTAAGACGGCAAAGCTGACTGAGCTCTTTTTGTCTTGATCTGATTCCCAGAATATGCGGTACTCTTTCCAGAAAGATGGCTCGTGTAGAATCCTGTAGCTCGTTTCCCAGGTCTGAAAATAGAGAGCGACTTGTGCATCGACCGTACTCTTCGCAGGGAGGACAGCGAAGACTTCCAGGTCGATGTCGGAATATCTGGCGATCTTGGCCATTGCGGACTTTTTCCTCTGGTCGCGGAAGGTTTTGAAGTCAGTTTTGACGCGCATAATAGAGTGGTCAACAGTCAAGGCTTCCCGTGTAAATGCCTGCAGCTCGTAATTCTTGATGATGGTCAGCCGCTGGTACACGGACATCAGGGTCTGGGCATGTGAAATATACCATAGAGATCATGCTCATAATACTCGTTGCGCCGTTGAAGTGAGATTTGAAACCTTTGCCTCTGAACATGATTTCTTCTTTGATCTCGGGCTCATCAGGGACAACGGCCTCGAATCGCGAGGGGTTTCTGGTGTCGTCCCTTGTGGCAAGCTTGTGCTCCAACATCGCTATCCGTCTCTCTTGGGTTCTGAGCTTCCATTGCAATGCATCTGGCGAGTCCGAGGAAGGGTTGCTATCAGCTGGCCGCTCGGCGAGGGCAATCGATGCAGCGCCCGCGTCAGAGTGGGACTCTTCAAGCAGCCGAGGATCGTATGTACACTCGTGGCCTCTGCCAGTCTTTTGGCATCGGCCACACACTGGAAACACGCGATCACACTTCATTTTGCGGTTGCGACACGCGTAGCACGACAACACTTTGCGCTTTTTGCTGGTGCGTCGCTGAGACGAGCCATCCTGACCTTCTGTGGAGTTGAGAACTTCTGGAGAATTATCGCGAGACCTATCGCTGATCCACTCGGCACCCGGAGCGGACATGGTGAATGATGGATGGTAACTATGACGTGCGATGATGGGCGTGGCAGGTGCTGTCGGTGGATCAATGATCCCAACGCATTGTCTCATGAATCAGACGCCCCGCAAAAATGTCCCGAGAACTCCTGAGCCTATCACAGAACTAGCGCAGAGCTATAGCTTCTTGACTAATCACAGTTGATTACATAACCTTTGGTGTCGGACTTAATTTCGGGAGTTGAGCACAGGGGCGCGAAATCCAGTTCGCAGTGCCATCTATGAACACCAACCACATTCTTGCACTTTGGCTCGACGTACCATTCACCCATCCAGTCATGGTGCAGCACCGCCATCATTGATGCGCCCGTACTCTGATTCGCCGGCAGTTCGGTTCTGCCCCGTGCATAGAGATTTCTCCGAGTCGAAAGCGGGGAATCCCAGTCGTCTCTCACCACCAGTCTCGTGGCCGTCTTCTCATCTACTCGCCGGAAGGACCGTTGCGTCGTTAAAATTCCCTCAATATCACACGTATTACCGATTTCCAATAGACAGCATTTTCCATAATCACTTCGTCGTCCACGCAGCGACCCACTGCTGGGCGGCGACATCACGACCCATCAAGGGTTCAGACATATAACACGGCATTCGCTCTACGATGCGTTATAGTCACTCTGAATCTGCCATCGGCTTGGTTTCGTCGTGTCAGTTCCGAATTACTAGGCGCCCAGCGCATGGCATTGAGCTTCGATGTGCTTCGTATGCTTAGCCGGACGGGCAACCGATGGGGTGGCATCGCACCCTCCGTCGGATCAATATTACCAGCTCTCACAGCGAGATTCCGTGGCTTACCCCTCCAGTTATATTACACCGAGATTGTTCTGTGGATCCGTAAGGGTCGGTGTAACAGCAAGTGGTGTTTCCAATCCACTTGTGCTGCCTGCAGCCGTGGTAAGATATTCCCTGACATCAATGTAGATTTGTCTCTAAACGATGGTGAATGGCGCTACATTACTAGCTGGTGGACAAACCACCGAACCACCAATCGCTGCATACAACGCGTGTCATCTGCTAGTTAGCATTTCATCAATTCAAAGTCAAAATATACAGCATATACAACAAAGTGCGAATGGAATCAACCGGGCAACAGGACTTAAAAGACGACTGACACTGTGCGTTCCACAGTTTGTATGCATATTCTGTGAACCCAGCGCACCACGACACAGAAATTCCAAAGCCTGTACTCTCCATCATGTATCAGTACTTCGTCCTTGCCGCCGCTCTACTCCAAGTGGGCCATGGGCAGCTCGTTGGTACGCAGCAAACAGAAACCCATCCCGGGATGACATGGCAGTCTTGCACTGCGAAGGGTAGCTGCACAAACAAGAATGGCAAGATTGTCATCGATGCTAATTGGCGATGGCTCCACAAGAAAGAAGGGTAATGTTCGATGATAACTGGCGCAAACTTCGTTGCTGACGGAAGACTAGTTACGATAACTGCTATACAGGCAATGAATGGGATGCGACGGCCTGTCCAGACAACAAAGCATGTGCTGCTAACTGTGCCGTCGACGGTGCCGATTACAGTGGCACATATGGCATTACCGCTGGCAGTAACTCTTTGAAGTTGAAGTTCATCACCAAGGGCTCTTATTCGACGAACATCGGTTCTCGAACATACCTGATGAAGGACGACACTACTTATGAGGTAAGCGAGTCATTCGTACATGCGATCATAGGCTAAACCAAGTTTGAACAGATGTTCAAGTTTACAGGAAACCAAGAGTTTACTTTCGACGTTGATGTGTCGAACCTGCCATGTGGCTTCAATGGTGCCTTGTACTTCGTTTCCATGGATGCAGACGGCGGATTGAAGAAATACTCGACTAACAAAGCCGGCGCCAAGTATGGCACAGGGTATTGCGATGCCCAGTGTCCACGGGATCTGAAGTTCATCAATGGCGAGGTAAGTCCCAATCGGTCCTAGCGTTTTGCTTCGGATGCTCAGACATACGCAGGGTAATGTTGAGGGCTGGAAGCCATCTTCCAACGATGCAAATGCAGGTGTTGGAGGCCACGGTTCGTGCTGCGCAGAGATGGATATCTGGGAAGCGAACTCTGTCAGCACGGCAGTTACCCCACACTCATGTTCCACAATCGAACAATCTCGTTGCGACGGAGACGGTTGCGGCGGTACGTATTCTGCCGACCGTTACGCTGGTGTATGCGATCCGGACGGCTGCGACTTCAACAGCTATCGCATGGGTGTCAAAGATTTCTATGGCAAGGGCAAGACTGTGGACACGTCAAAGAAATTCACCGTGGTCACACAATTCATCGGCACTGGCGACGCCATGGAGATCAAGCGCTTCTATGTCCAAAACGGCAAAACTATTGCGCAGCCTGCATCTGCCGTCCCTGGCGTAGAGGGCAACTCTATCACAACTAAGTTCTGCGACCAGCAGAAGGCCGTTTTCGGAGACACATACACATTCAAAGACAAAGGCGGTATGGCGAACATGGCAAAGGCTCTTGCCAACGGCATGGTCCTTGTGATGAGTCTGTGGGACGACCATTACAGCAACATGCTCTGGCTTGACTCGACGTATCCCACAGACAAGAACCCAGACACCGATCTAGGTACTGGCAGGGGAGAGTGCGAGACATCAAGCGGCGTACCAGCAGATGTCGAGAGCCAACACGCTGATGCTACGGTTGTCTATAGTAACATCAAGTTTGGACCGCTGAACTCGACTTTTGGTTAACGGAATCGTAATGAACTTTGGAAGGTAGGGGGCTGAGACAGAAGGGACGAAGACGGGTATGGTCCTGTTGACATAGCTAGTCTTCATAGTGAGAATCCATCCCTCAGCAGTGTAATACGATGAAGTGTCCTTGCAGATGCACATTCAAAAAATGGAACATAGCCCTAGTGAAGCGTACTTGACGGACGCCAATGAAGAACGATGGCATCACGCTATACGACTGGAGCGTCTTTGGCATATCTTGTCTAATCTTAGGCGCCAGCGTTCCCATCGTACAGTAGTACGGTGAGGTACTGTACGGTGATACGACGTACGTAAGCCGTACGTAGGAGACCTCTTATTGGTCCGTACAGTATCTGTAGGGGGTGAAGTTTTGGGAGCCGTAGTACGGCGTACGGCCTGGAGTTATCGGATTTTGGCTAAGGATCGCCGTAAGGCCGAAAAAACAGCGTAGAAGTCCTATACAGCTAATTTCTTAGTGTTGCAATTGCTGTAGGCGTACCTGTATCTAAAAAGAAGCAAAAAGAGAGGGTTGTAACCTAATCTAAACAAAAAAGACTCTCCTATAGTAGTTCTAACTACACCTAAGAGAGGCTTATTAAAGCCGGGACAAGTCCCTATTAGTAACCGCACTACGCTATTGTGGGTGTAGTTAACGGAGACAGCAAAGTCTCTATTTACAACAGCGTGTATATATACCTGCGCTGCGGAGGTCCTTATAGGTTGTATAATAGGATATAGCTAGTTTACGCGGTATATAACCTTGCCCTTAGCGTACAACAGGTCCTTAATAAAGCAGTACAGCTATCGCGAGGTGTATCTAGCTTTCTGTAGTGTTGTAGGTTGCCTGTAGCTTATTTAGCAGCTTCTTATTGCTTATTATTAAGATATTGCGTAATAGAAGCAACAACAACACTATAAAGAGCTAGATACACCTCGCAATAGCTGTACAGGGTGTATTAGCTTATAAACAAAACTTAAAACCTTGTAGGTATTGTAGGTATTGTAGGAAGTTGTTACACGGGGTCAGGCTATACTTCTCTAGGCTCGGTCCGTACTAAGGCGAGGTAGACTAAAGCGGTAGTCCGTGAGGTATCGTATGGAATGATCAGGTGGAAAAGAGTTATCGTTGTAACCAAAA